GTGCCCTACTCCGGAGGCCGCACCATCAGCGTCTCGGACGACTTCACTCTGCGGGTGTCGGTGTGGAAGCTCGGCGAGGCTGGATCGCGCGGCAGGTTCCAGATGGTGCGGTACGTGCACCTCTTCTGCTTCAAGTGCGTCTTGGGCCTCCCAGGAGAGCGTGTGGCTGCGAGGGAGTTCTATGCTTTCTACGTCATAAGCTTGTGGAACGAAGCCGCCCTGCACAAGGTCGGGGACCACGCGAAGAAAGGCCCAGACGACAACTCCTGGCAGAAGAAGGGCTGACGAGTTGTGTGGGTCCTCCTGCACCTCCGCGTGAACGTCCTCGTCAGCGGATCCAAGGACAGCACCGTCCGCGTGTGGGACATCGACAGAGGCACCTGCCTTACAGACGATGTCAAGGTAGCACACGAGGGCTACGGCGACGACACTGGACATGGGCGAGAATGCGAAACAGTTCAATCTCAGCAGCGAGTACGCGGCGATATTGAAGCTGACCCACCTCTGGGACGGGAAGACGTTCGCGATCAGCTCGTTCGACAGTGCCTGTGGCGTTGGAGGGCCGCCGACAACTCCGTGCTCGACGCATGCTTCGCCGTCGAGTCCCCCATCGCAGTCTGCTCCGCGGATTCGCTGGTGGCGGTCGGGGGACTGGCGGAAGCGCGAGCGGACCAGGCACGTCCTCAAGGTCCGCGCCATGCCTCATGGCGCCTGCCGGCTGGACGGCCACCGCCTCGTGGTGGCCGGAGGCGACGCGACGCTCAGGATCTTCGACTGGCGATCGGGCGCGGAGGTGCGGTTCACCCCGGAGGCCTTCGGGAAGACGGTCCGGACTCTGGTTCTACGAGGTATTGGCGTAAGCCAAACCAACCGAGAGGTATCATTGTGGCCTGGTTTCGGTTGCCTATGTAGCCAGTGTCTCGTACAACGCGCTGCCCACGCGTTCAGCCCCGTTCCCACTGTCTTGGCCAAAGTCGGAAGACATGTGCTGCGTTCGTCAGTCTTTCATGCGAGGATGCCTTCCCGTGCTTCGCATGCCGCGCAGGGCCTTTTGGAAGTTGTTTGACTTTGTTTGCGGTCGTTGCGCGCAGTGCAGTTCTCGTGGGAAAGCATTTCTGGATTTTGCATTTGCGTCCGGGGGCTGCCGCGCTTGGCTGTTCTTGCGCGTGTCGATTGCCGTCTGAGCAGAATCAGCATCAACGAAAGATTGTTGCTGCCTCCTTCCTCCTCGATCCTCTCTGCCTCTTCCTATCAGGGTCTTTTCTGCCCATCCTCCTTTGCCCGAGCGCTTCGAAGTTTAGGCCCTTGAGGATCGAGGTTCGAAGTTTTTTGGCCTTCGGGGGCACTCCGCATCGCCACAGTTGGACGCAGCCCGAAAAGCTGGTGTGCTTGGTCCACGGGAGGGGTCTGGGGACCCTTTTAGCCGTTGCAGAAACTGCGACTCAGGTCTGCCATGTGTTGGTTTTGTACGACGCTTCATGCGTGACATCTCGCAGACAAGTGCGTATCGATATGGGAACACAAGCGACTTTCACCGCCTCGGCGTGCGTAAAGGCCAGGAGGTTCGGGGGAGGAGGTCTCCGGGCGCCCTAGGCTTGGGGGAGGCGGGCCCGAGGCGCCCAGGGACCTTGCGGGTCCTTTTGGAGCTTTGTCGGACCGTCTGGGGGGCTTCGTGGGCCGTCCATGGGCCATAGTGGGCCGTCTTTAAAGGCCGCCCGGGGCCTTTTCGGAGGCATCTGTCGTCGAAAGCGCGGACCCATCATCTTTTGCAGAAGGTCGCGGCTTCGGGAGCGCGGATCCGCTGCTTCAGAAGAGGAACACGGCCCCCGGTGGGGGGGATGCATGCGGCGGCGTGCTGCTCGGGGGGGGGGGGGGGGGCCGGTCTGAATAATTCATTCCATCGGTTATGTGGTGGACACTGTGTGTCGCACGCGCGACGGGGGTAGCTCTGGGGGTCGCCAGTTGTTTGCCTGAGGGTGGTGGAAATGTCTGCGAAGTCTCGGCAACGGACTCTTCGGGAATGCAATTGTTCTAATCTTTTTTGGGGGACGTCAGGTGTGTTACATGCATATGTCGGAAATTGTGTGTCCTTGTGTCCTTCTCGGGCGTGGCTGGCGGCTTCTCCGCGCACGACTTCACGACCAGGGGCGTGGTGGGCGGCAGCTTACCCAGCGTCTGGCACGCGGTGGACAGCGAGGCGCCGCCTGTCGGCCGCTCCCCAGGGGCGTTCGGCGCCCATCCCAAGAGCAGAAAGCGAGGTCCGCCATGATGTTGTCCGACAAGAGGCGGAGGAGGCGCTCGTCAGCTCCATTTGGGAGGTGTTCGGCGAGCCGCGGGTCACTGGAGCGGAGTTTCCTGCAACAGAGTTTGATGACCGATTGAGCCCTCAGTACGGCGGCGAACGGGCGCATCGGTATCGTTTTTCCTGGGACAGTGTTGGGATCACCCTCGCGTTTGGGGACGCTGAGTAAGGGCCCCATGCTCTCACGGTCTCAGTGTCGCAGCCTGTAGCCACCTCGCCCAGGTTGGTCTGACCCGCGGAGGGCTTCGCTCAGGGACACCGCGTAGGAGTCTCAAGGCGTCTCGGTTCACCTGTGACCCGAGGGCTGCGCCCAATCTCGGCCTCACAGACACCTCAGCATAACAGCATGGTTTCGCTGCTCTCACGCGTCGTGCGTGGACAGCTCCACTCGTTGTGCGAGGTGCGCGATGTGTATATGTATAAACAAATGTGTATATACATACACACATATATATAGTTATATGAGTATATATATATATGTATACAATGTGTACACATGCGTGTATGTATGTGTTTATGAATGCATTGATTGATGACTGTATGCAGGTATGAATGTGTGCATGTATGTCTATGGGTATTTGTGCGTGTGTGTGTCTGTATGCATGTGTGTATGTATGTGTGTATGCATGCATGTATGTATGCATGCATGGATGTTTGTATAGACATGTAACTGTAGCCGTACGCACGTATGTATGTATGCATGCATGCTTGCATGGATGCATACAAGCACGCATGCATGTATGTATGCATGAGTGTATATGTGTTCATTCAGTGTTGCATGTATGTATGTCTGTATGTATGTATGTGTGTATGTGTGTATGTATGTATGTATGTACGTTTGTTTGTATGTATGTATGTATGTGAATGTGCGTATGTATACAGGTCTGCGTGTTTGCATGTGTGTGTGTCTGTACAGATGTACATGTGTATGTATTTGTATGCATGCATGCTTGTATGTTTGTATGCATGTATGACTGTATGCATGTATGCATGTATGGATGGACGGACGGATGGATGATAGATGTATAGGTATGTATGTCTGTATGTCTGTATGTATGTCTGTATGTATGTATGTATGTATGTATGTATGTATGTGTGTATCTGCATGCACACACAGATATAACACATGTTGATTCGAGCGATCCACACCCGAGACCGCGAGTAGGGTTACCGAGGGAGCACCGGCCCATGGAGGCCTGATGGCCGCGGCATGCAGTCGTCATTCGTCGACTGCGTGAGGCGGATCTCCAGGGAGCCCTGGGACCCTCGGGGCGTGGCGGCCGCGGCATGCAGGGTGTACCAGTCGAGCCTGGAGCTTTGCATAAAATCTAGGAAGACCTCAACCTGCCTGGCATTGGGAACATCACGAGCAGACACACGCACACACTCGGAGGCGGGCCAGTTTAGACAACGGCGACTCCTTCCCGGCCCAAATCCGCTCAAAGTCAATTCCTGGACCCGGACCCCTCTCCAAAGGGTCCATCCTGACTCGTTTTGGGAGGCGGATCCAGCTGTGGCGACGAGAGGCCTCCAGGAAGCCCAAAGCACGCCAGGGGGGCCCGACGGAGTCTCGACTGGCCATCCCCCGACACACTGTGGAGAATAATGAAGGCTAGAGAGATCAGCCGGTACGAGCGCGTCAAAGGTGAGCGTGAAGCAAAACGACACACACAGACCCCGACGTCATGGTTTTTGTTCACAGCGTCGACCCCCGAAGGTCTCGACCCATTCCTCAGGACCGGCTTGTCATTCTGAGCCGTGTTTTCTGACGGTCCCGAGGCCGGGCAAAGGGCCCCAAAGGCTGAAAATATGGGAAGACATTCCGTCGTGCTTTTGTGCTTGATCCGAGGGGGTCTGGGAAACGCGCACACGCCATCGCACGGCGGCGCCAGGAACGGGGGCTCCTGCGGCCGGGCTCGTTCCCGAGCGGCAGGGTGCGGGACGCGTCGGCGAGCTGCGGGCGGAGGCCGGAGAGCGCGCCCCTCCGATTTGTTTTCGTTTCGTTCCTTCCGCTGCATGTTTCGGGCATGTTTCGTATCATCCTCCCTCCACCTTCCGACCTCCGCGGAAGGTGCGGAAGGTGTTGCATGTCTTCAGATACCTTGAAATGTCTTGGGATGTCTCGAATGTCTTTGGATGGCTTGTTGGTTTGCCTTTCCTGAAGTTCGTTATGTCACAAACTATTGACGCTTCGCGTAGCCCCACCAGCACATCCAGAAACGATGATGATGATGATGATGATGATGATGATGATGCTGATGATGTTGATGATGATGATGATGCTGATGCTGATGCTGATGATGATGATGCTGATGATGATGCCGCTGATGATGTTGGTGATGGTGATGGTGATGGTGATGGTGGTGATGATGATTGTGGTGGTGATGGTGATGATGCTGATAAAGATGATGATTTTGATGATGGTGATGCTAGTTGCAATGCTGATAATGGTGATGATGAGGAGGAAGAGGTTTTATGATTGTGGTGATGATGATGAGGATGATGATTACGATGATGTGTTCATGCTGATGATGGTGAGTATGATGATGATGATGATGATGATGGTGATGACGATGATGATGATGATGATGATGATGATGGTGATGATGGTGATGATGATGTTGCTGATTCTAGTGGTGGTGATGAGGGAGCAAAAGCATAAACAAGCCCACACCCACAGGTGAATATACATACACATATACATACATATATATATATGTACAGACACATCTATATATACATATCAGAGTGAGGGGGGCTGAACCGAATGGTCATTCACTGTCCCTGGGTGCGTGGCTGAAGTGGAATTCCGCGATGCGGATTATTGTTGTTGTTGGTGGTGGTGGCGTTATTGTTGTTGTTGTTGTTGTTGTTGTTGTTGTTGTTGTTGAACATTATTTCTTCTTAAGAATAATTATTGTTGGGACCCCGTTCTCACCAGTGCCAGGGTTTTCATAGGAGGCGGGCAATACCCCCACTTTGTGGGGGGGCCGGTTCAAGCTCTACCAAATTTACAAACGACTCTTCGCCACCAATGCGGGACACATTCGTTTTTTCTTCGCGCGCGCACGCCGTCGTCGTCGGCCGCGGGGCACTGAGTAGTAGCCACGGTCGTCCGCATGCCACGAAGTGAAGTGTCCGAACGTCATAGGGCGGGAAGCTGGGTGTGGGTGGTGGCGAAGAGTCGTTTGGAAATTTGGTAGAGCTTGAACCGGCCCCCCCACAAAGTGGGGGTATTGCCCGCCTCCTATGAAAACCCTGGCACTGGTGAGAACGGAGTGTCCCCACGTGCTAGTAATTGTTGAACATTATTACTTCTAAAGAATAATTATTGTTGGGCCCCTGGTGCACGACCCCCCCGCCGCGCCTAGGCCGCAGCCTCATTTTCATCATTTTCGTGAGGAAGTCTCAGGCAAAACGGGTTGGTCCGGATCCGGTTGTGTTGTTACGATCGGTTTTCCCTTGCAAAAAATAAGCTAAAGTGGACATTTCTTGTTCTAACATAACCAAACTTCAAGAATCCCTTGCAAAAAATAAGGTAAAGTGGACATTCGCGCGCGCAAGACGAAATCCTTCCAAAACCTTAGTTTTCGTAGCGATTTTAACATAAAAACATCAAAAAACCAATGGTTTTTCAAACAAAAATGTCAAAATTTCATCCCGCGCGCTCTTGCGGATTCGTAGGAAACCCAACACTTTTTAAACATTTCTGTCAAACGGGCTTTTGCGAGCAACTTTTTCGAACTTCTGCAACAACGGTTGCGCACCTGCCAGGGCCATCATCCCTGTCAAATAATACCATGCGGGACACATTCGTTTTTTCTTCGCGCGCGCACGCCGTCGTCGTCGGCCGCGGGGCCCTGAATAGTAGCCACGGTCGTCCGCATGCCACGAAGTGAAGTGTCCGAACGTCATAGGGCGGGAAGCTGGGTGTGGGTGGTGGCGAAGAGTCGTTTGGAAATTTGGTAGAGCTTGAACCGGCCCCCCCACAAAGTGGGGGTATTGCCCGCCTCCTATGAAAACCCTGGCACTGGTGAGAACGGAGTGTCCCCACGTGCTAGTAATTGTTGTTGTTGAATATTATTTACTTCTAAAGAATAATTATTGTTGGGCCCCCTGGTGCACGCCCCCCTCGCCGCGCCTAGGCCGCAGCCACGTTTTCATCATTTTCGTGAGGAAGCCTCAGGCAAAACGATGTGATCCAGATCCGGTTGTTTTGTTGAATCCGCTTTCCCTTGCAAAAAACACTATAAAATGACATTTCTTGTTCTAACATATCCAAACTTCAAGAATCCCTTGCAAAAAATAAGGTAAAGTGGACATTCGCGCGCGCAAGACGAAATCCTTCCAAAACCTTAGTTTTCGTAGCGATTTTAACATAAAAACATCAAAAAACAAATGGTTTTTCAAAAAAAAAATGTCAAAATTTCATCCCGCGCGCTCTTGCGGATTCGTAGGAAACCCAACACTTTTTAAACATTTCTGTCAAACGGGCTTTTGCGAGCAACTTTTTCGAACTTCTGCAACAACGGTTGCGCACCTGCCAGGGCCATCATCCCTGTCAAATAATACCATGCGGGACACATTCGTTTTTTCTTCGCGCGCGCACGCCGTCGTCGTCGGCCGCGGGGCCCTGAATAGTAGCCACGGTCGTCCGCATGCCACGAAGTGAAGTGTCCGAACGTCATAGGGCGGGAAGCTGGGTGTGGGTGGTGGCGAAGAGTCGTTTGGAAATTTGGTAGAGCTTGAACCGGCCCCCCCACAAAGTGGGGGTATTGCCCGCCTCCTATGAAAACCCTGGCACTGGTGAGAACGGAGTGTCCCCACGTGCTAGTAATTGTTGTTGTTGTTGTTGTTGTTGAACATTATTTCTTCTTAAGAATGATTATTGTTGGGGCCCCTGGTGCACGACCCTCCCGCCGCGCCTAGGCCGCAGCCTCATTTTCATCAGTTTCGTGAGGAAGTCTCAGACAAAACGGGGGAGTCCGGATCCGGTTGTGTTGTTACGATCGGTTTTCCCTTGCAAAAAATAAGCTAAAGTGGACATTTCTTGTTCTAACATAACCAAACTTCAAGAATCCCTTGCAAAAAAACAAGGTAAAGTGGACATTCGCGCGCGCAAGACGAAATCCTTCCAAAACCTTAGTTTTCGTAGCGATTTTAACATAAAAACATCAAAAAACAAATGGTTTCTTCAAACAAAAATTGACAAAATTTCATCCCGCGCGCTCTTGCGGATTCGTAGGAAACCCAACACTTTTTAAACATTTCTGTCAAACGGGCTTTTGCGAGCAACTTTTTCGAACTTCTGCAACAACGGTTGCGCACCTGCCAGGGCCATCATCCCTGTCAAATAATACCATGCGGGACACATTCGTTTTTTCTTCGCGCGCGCACGCCGTCGTCGTCGGCCGCGGGGCCCTGAATAGTAGCCACGGTCGTCCGCATGCCACGAAGTGAAGTGTCCGAACGTCATAGGGCGGGAAGCTGGGTGTGGGTGGTGGCGAAGAGTCGTTTGGAAATTTGGTAGAGCTTGAACCGGCCCCCCCACAAAGTGGGGGTATTGCCCGCCTCCTATGAAAACCCTGGCACTGGTGAGAACGGTGTGCCCCCGCGTGCTAGTAATTGTTGTTGTTGTTGTTGTTGTTGTTGCTGTGTTTGTGTGTTGTTTGTTGTATGTTGCTAGTTGTTTGTTACGTGTTGTCTGTTGTTTGTTGCTTCTTGTTTGTTGTTGTCGTCGTCCCACCCGCGACCCGCCCCGCGACCCACCCGCGACCCACCCTGCGTCCCACCCGCGACCCACCCGCGACCCGCCCAGCGACCCGCCCGCGACCCGTCCCGAGACCTCCCCGGCGACCCACCCGCGACCCACCGGCGACCCACCCGCGACCCACCCCGCGACCCACCCGCGACCCACCCGCGACCCACCCCGCGACTCACCCGCAACCCACCCCGCGACCCACCCGCGACCCACCCGCGACCCACCCCGCGACCCGCCCGCGACCCGTCCCGAGACCTCCCCCGCGACCCGCCCGCGACCCATCGGCGACCCACCCCGCGACCCACCCCGCGATCCACCCCGCGACCCACCCGCGACCCGCCCGCGACCCACCCCGCGACCCGCCCGCGCACCCGCCGGACCCACCCGCGACCCACCGCGACACCCGCGACCCACCGCGACCCACCGCTACCCGCCCCCCGCCCAGCCCCACCCGCGACCCTCCCCGCGACCCACCCCGACCCATCGACCCACCCGCGACCCACCCGCGACCCACCCGCGACCCACCCGCGTCCCCGCCCGACCCCCCCGCGCCACCCGCGACCCACCCCGGCCACCTCGCGACCCCGCCGCCCCCGACCCCCACGCGACCCACCCGCGACCCACCCGCGACCCACCCGCGACCCACCCGCGACCCACCCGCGACCCCACCCCGAGACTCCCCGCGACCCACCCGCGACCCGTCCCGATACTCACCCGCAACCCACCCCGCGACCCACCCGCGACCCGCCCAGCGACCCACCCAAAATTTTTGGCGCCTGCGGCGGGCTTCTTTTGCATTCGTTCCAGGTGGAGAACCTGCGACCCACCCGCGACCCAAACCGCGATCAGTGTACAACTCAAAACTTTCGGCGCTTGCGGCGGGCTGTGTTTGAATTTTTCCCAGGTGGAGGTGGACAGCCCGCGACCCACCCGCGACCCAAACTACGTTCACTGAACAAACCAAAATTTCGGCGCCTGCGGCGGGTTTCTTTTGCATTCGTTCCAGGTGGTCGTCGTCGTCGCCGTCGCCGTCGCCGCCGCCGCCGCCGCGGCCGCCGCCATCGCCGTCGCCGCCGCCGCCGTCGCCGTCGCCGTCGCCGTCGCCGTCGCCGTCGCCGCCCCGCCCCACCCCCCCGGCGCGCGCGCGCTCCGCGGAGGAGGGGGGGAGGAGTTGGGCGAGGAGCAGGAGGAGGAAAAGGACGACG